GTAAAAACCAGATCCTGAACAAACTATGTTCGGAAAATTTCTCAGTTGCGTTATCCAGGAATAATTCCAAAATTCCGTTGTCATAGCAAGTAAAATAGGCAAATAAGGAGTCTAAAGACATTAACTCAAAGAATCTACATATTTATCATCTTCTTGCTTTAGTCATAAAATCACTTACTCTCTTTCCTTTCAAACTCCTCTACTCCAACTTCAGTGCCCCGAACACTACGCCGCCGGCGTTCCAGGTTCTCTTTTAGACCCGTCTCCTGAGGCAACACCTCGCGCCAACTCACCTTGAGACAATCGAATCCGGAGGCATATTCCTGCTCAGTCGCCTGCTCTATGTCGTAACCACGGAAGGGGCCGGACTGCTCATAAGGCAAACGGTATCCTGGCTTACAGACGCATTCGTAGCCGCCTCGAGCAAATCCATAGCCAGAAATAGGTACACACTTGATGAAAATTGAAACAGGAGTGAATATGATGTGTGGATAATAGCGCACATGGGGGTGGGAGGATAGCAAATTAAGGAATGCAAATAAAAAGGTGCCATCTACAACGCATTCTTATAACCCCAAACCGTCCGCAGCATTTTTTAAGTATAAGATATAGTTAAACACTTGTAAATATTGAGCTTACTTCCATTTCGAGTGAAAGTGTTGGGTGAAGAGATTCGAAGGTCGGTTAAACCAGAAGACGACGGCAGATTTCTCTTGACCAGCTGCCGATTGGCTTTACTGGAAGATTCATGCTGACGCTATTTTCGAGGTAGTCTCCTTCGATTCCGGTGAATAGGTGCTAAGCTTTCGCCCGTCATATGACGAATATCACCAGAGCGAGGTATCATCGTCATAAACAAATTCAAGTTAACGAGTCAAGAAAACGGACGAAAGCTTAGCACCTTTTCACCGAAATCGAAGGAGACTACCTCGAAAACAACGTCAGCATATATCTTCCAGTAAAGCCAATCGACAGCTGGTCAAGAGGAATCCGCCGTCATCTTCGGGTGGAACCGACCTTCGAATCTCTTCACCAAACACTTTCCCTTAAAATGGATGTAAGCTCAGCAATTATGAAACAAGAGATTACTCGAGACC